GAAGAACCAAGTTACATGAGGTTTCTCAATGCCACTAAATTTCCATGATATTTGTGTATCTTGACCAATGGTACATGTCTGATCATTGGCTGGTTTTGGAGCTTCAACTTTTGGTTTGACTAAGAATGAGGAATAGATTTATGTTTGTGTGTGTAACGTTTGAAATCATCGAAGCTTACCTCCAATATGCATTGTCACGGGAACTTCGAGTTTTTCAATGCCATTATCAATAATGGCTGTGTATATACCTGAATCAGCAAAATCAGTCTTGTTGACATTTAGGATGAATTGATTTCCTTTCATTTCCACTTTATATTTAGCTGATGGTTGAATAGGATTTCCATTAAAGAGCCAAGTAATGTTGGGTCTAGGTAAGCCTTCAAATTCTAGTGCAATTTGAGCATTTTGTGTTTGTAAGACATTAACATCACTTGGTGTTTGTTTCAATGTAAGTGGAGCTATTGAAAAGTAAATAATTTATAGGTTAGTTTCATATCGAATATGACGATAAAAATGTGGTTCACTTCTGTGATAGAAAATAATAATATTAAAATGAGCTTGTTTTTCAAGCAATCATTGCATGTATGTTTTTCAAGGGAAACCGGTATATAGGGTGACTTGCGAATGGAACTTGAAGAGATTCCAAATGACTTTCTATGTAATCAACCATGCAAAAACTTAACTGCGACAAAGCAATACGTTTTTAGGATCGCCGAATGAATTTTGAAATTGTATTCAAAATTATATCTCCGTAATATTTTATAATCATCAGAAAACTACAAGTTTCTCGGATAGGAAAGAGATACGTATATGCAAAGTTAATTTGAAAACGAATAAAATTTGAAACTAAATAAGTTAGATTGCAATTAAAACAAGTATCAAGAAAATTCTTGTTGAACTCACATATGCAATTCTATTTTGATTATTTTTCTATGGCTATGATTTGTTTATATAATTGCATGCAGTGCTTATCAAAAACATGCAATGACATGCATATTTTGTTTCACTCATAAATACCCGTAACAATAATATTAAAAATCATTTGTTGTGTTCGAACTTTATGTTTAACATTAGCAATATATTGTCCACTGTGATCTGCTTGAGCATCAGTTAATGTTAAGTAATGAATACCATCAGGTAATGATTCAAGTAAAAGATGTTCAGTGGATTTTATTTCTTTGCCATTCTTTGTCCATTTTACTTCAGGTAATGGCTTACCCGAAGCATGACATTGAAGTTTACATGAGCCACCTTGATTGATACGTATTTCAGCAGGTTCAGAAGCAATATCAGGTGCATCTATTTAATAATTTAAAATATAATTTATATATAATTATAGTGAGAAAATTTGGTTAATATGACCTAAATGTCAGACAAAAAAGAACAGAAATTGTTTGAAAATGAAATCTGTGAATATCGTAGCCTACTTGTTTTAAGTATATAATGGTACAGCATAACATCTGACGATGAACATATGAACTCAAGGAAGTGTTCTTTAATTAGCATATTATAGATAATTTCAAACTGTTCAACAAGAACAGTTAATTTTAGTTGAAATTAAAATGATTAAATAACAGCGCACAGTCAATTACTTGATCTTCGATTTATAATCTTCAAGCGTGTATCAACAAATTTTCGCAGGGGGTCACATTTTAGCTCCTAGATTTTTTTTTATTTTTGAACTACATACGAAGTTCTAATATCCGTTTTCTTTTTGAATTATTAGCATATATGCAATTGCAAAATATAAAATAATAAAAAAGCGAATTTCATTTCTCTAGAACAAATCTATCCAGCTTTTGTATTGTCAGTATCATTCGTAAAAGTCATGTTAGAGACTTGCAAATCTCGCCTACAGTATGTTAACTAAAGTCGAAATATAGATATTTTTATAAAGCTCAAATATACTTGCCCGAGCATTGTTGATTTATAAAATGACGTGAGTATTTCTTAATAACTATTTTGGATGATTATATTTGAAATTTTTTTACTTACCCATGACAGTTACTTGACTGACTAATTCTGTTTTACCCATTTGATTTTCAATAACAGCCTTTAAAAATAGAAAGAAAAAATGTTTATTAACGAACAATAAAAAGCTAATTTTCCGTTACTTTATATTGTCCTTCATCGGTTAATTCAGCATTAAGTATTCTCAAACTATGCACTGGTCCATCATTAATAATCTCAATATGATCTGGTTGAACTTGAATTGGTGTATCGTTGTAAAGCCATGTACACGTTGGTAATGGACTACCATCAGCTGTAACTGTGATAGTGACTTCTTGTCCACGACAGATTTCGAAATCTTGCATTTTTTGTTGAACATTGGGTGGTGCTAGAAAAAGATAGAAAGATCAAATGAATTTTCTTTTTTAAAAGATTCTTTTTCTTGTTTTTGTTTTGTTGCATTTCTTACCAAGAACATCTATATTAATTTCAGTTGCATGTGTACCATATTGATTCTCAATTTTACATTCATATTTTCCAATATGTTTCATTGTTGCATTTGGAATAATAAATGTAGCGTGACCTGTTGCTTGATCAAATTTAATATCATAACCATCTTTATTAGTTAAAATTTTTCCATTCAGTGACCAAGATACTTTTGGTGGTGGATATCCTTTAGTTGTACATTCAATAGTTAATTTTTCACCGGTCTTAACTTGAACAAACTGTGGTAGTTCTTGTGTGAAGAATGGTATTTGTTGTCCAGTGACTTTAACTTTCTTTGTTTTAATTGTCCCTGCAGAACTTGTTATAATAGCTTGATATTCTCCAAGATAATGCTCATTAAATTGATGAAACACAAGACGGTAATGACCATCTTCAGTAGCAATCAATTCATAATCCGTAGAATCTGTAGATAATTCTTGTCCATTGAATAACCAGGCTACATGTGGAGCTGGTTTACCTTGTGCCTGAATTTCTAATGAAAATTCTTCACCAATTTTAGCTACATTAATGCCTGGAGCATCATTTAAGTCAAATAGAATTTGTGGTTTTTGCTCTTTGACATTAACTGTTGTCTTAAGTTCTACAAGTCCACCTTTATTTTTAACTTGAATTGTATAAATACCTTTATCTTCGGAACGAACGTCATCAATAACTAATTTATATAAATTATTTTCTTCTGTAATAAAACGTACACGATCGTTAAGTTCAATAGGATGTGAATCTTTCAACCATGTTATAGTATTATCGTCACCACTGATATGCAATGGTATCAAACCTGGTTCACCATAATTAAATGTAAATGTTGAATCTAACTTTGATTCTAATTTAGGTTTTGTATAAACATGTAATTGACAATCAGATTGAACTTTTTCAAGGCCATTATCAATAATAGCAGTATATTTTCCGTCATCTGGATGATCTAATTTTGTAATTGTTAAAGTAGTTAAACGTGGATTTTCTTTTGATGTTTCAATTTTATGTTTTGGCGAAGATTTAAGTGGTTGATCATTAAATAGCCAAGTTATTTTTGGTTGAGGAATACCTAAATTTTCAATAGGAGATATTTTCGATTTGAATGGATCAATGGAGAATTAGATGTATTTAATTAGTGTTAGTTTTATTTCAAACACGCGGGCTATATATGACTATCAAGCTAATAATCAAGTATTTTTAACTTTTCAATCGCTTTTGCCGTGAGACTATTGTCTTTTAATCGTTCATTGTTTTAGTTTCAACTGTCTTCTTTAGTAAAAGTATCTTATTTTCTCTAATGATAGCTTATGTAGACCATCGAATTGCAATCTGTAGTTCGATACATCGAGAAGCTCTATAATAATTAGAAACACTAGGCATGTTGATTTACGAAAAGCGAATTCGCATTGATAGATTAGCTCAAAATTGAATCGTACTTGAAGTATTCAAGGATTTCATGTTAATTAGACAAAAGCTAACTAACAATAATCATTCAGTAGATTATCTACTACGAAAAAGTTATATCCGAAAGAAATGATTTTCAAAATCAATAAGATTTTGTTCAGTTTTTGAGATTTTCAAAATGTAGATTGTTCAAAATCTAATCGTTGAAACTCTATATATGATGATTTACAATACAATAACGTGATTATTAATATCTTTTGCACTCATGAATGCTAATAGAACAATTCTATTCGTATATATTGAGTCTTTTAATTTACCTTCAGCTTCAATAGTTAATGTTGTTTGTTCATTAAAAATGCAATCAACTGTGCCTGGTAGTTGTCGTTTAATAGTTAATGGTGCTGTCACATTTATTTTAACGGGTTCACTTTCTTGTCTGCCCAATTTATTTTTCGCTACCAACGTATAAACACCTTGATCGTCTTGTCCAACATCAGTTGTAATTAATCGATAAATATTAGTTGTTTCATCATATGTTATTTGTGTTTTCGCAGATGCTTTGATTTCTTTGCCATCTTTCATAAATACAACATCAGGTTTTGGTCGTCCACTAACAGTATATTCAAGTACTAGTGTGTCATGCTGTTTTAAATCTGTATTTATGGGTTGTGCTGATGATTTAATTGATACATTATCAACAGTTGCTAATTGAAAATTTGATTCAATATTTCCGAGAGAATTTTCAATGTAAATACGATAATTTCCTTCATCTTCAATTTGAACATTCTTTATTTTAATTTCATATGATGTAAGATCCGTTGGATTTATTACAATTTCATAATGTTCATCGGTTAATTGTATTTCATCATCATTTCTAAATAAATGTATTACTGGTTTAGGAGTTGATAAACATTTAAATGCAATTGAAGCTGTTTGATTTAAATGCGCTTCAGTTACTGCCTGTGGTTTTTGTAATAGTTGCGGTGCTGTTTCAACTTGTAATTGAATTATTTCTTCAATCGGTGGCCCAGCGGAATTTTCCAAACGTAATGTTATTGGACCTGAATGTTTTGTTGTTGTTTGATTAATAACTAATACACTTGTCCCTGTTGTTGTATCTGTTTTGATTTCAAAACCATCTTTGGGCGTTAAAGGTTTTCCATCTCGTAGCCAAGATACTTTTGGCGATGGATTACCAACAAATTCACATTCAAAACGTGCTTGTTCACCTTGCTTAACAGTTACAATAGGATCTGGTTTCTTTTTCAAGTGCGCTGCTTTTTGTATTTGAACTTTGATTTTCTTCGATTTGACTTGTCCAGCATCATTGGTAATAACAGCTTGATATTCACCACTATCTTTTGGTTGTGCACGTTTAATTAACAATGTATATGTTTCTTCTTCTTCAATAATTTCATACTCTTCTTCTACTGTTTCAATAATTTCTTCGCCATCTTTATACCATTTCACTTTCGGTTTTGTACCAGCTGCTTGTATTGTAAGTGCAACTGGCTCATCGGCGAGAGCTACGATATCTTTCATGAGATCTGATTTCAACGTTGGTTTTACTTGTTGAACATTCAAGTTTAATTTAACGTCCACTGTACCACCTATATTTGTTGCTTGACATACATAACTGCCTTTATCGGTTATTTGAGTAGATTTAACAAGAAGAGTTTGCGTGCCATCTGGTTCACTTTGTATTGTGATATTATCTGATTGTTCGATTGGTTGACCATCTTTAAGCCAGACAATAGTTGGCGATGGTGAACCAGATATTTTACATTGTAATTTAGCTGATTCATTGACATGAACATTGACATCGGATGGTTTACCTTCAACTTTTGGTTTGACACAAACATCAAGTTTAGATTGAGTGTTAATTGTGTCAATGCCATTTGAAACAATAGCTTCATATAAACCACTATCAACAAGATCAACTTTCGATAATGTTAATTTAGTAACATTTCCTTTTGATTCGATTTTATATTTTGGTGATGCATTGATTTCTTGACCATTGAAGAGCCTAGAAATGAAAATAATTTTAGTTTTATTTAATGCATGGATGTTGACCTGCATGGAATAACAAAATAATGAAAATATAGAATACGGTTTATCATAGATCAGTACGTCTCTGATCTACGAGTTTACAAAATCGATTTTTGGATACTCGTGAATGGTAACGACTATCATTTTTTTGTACAATGATAATTTGATTAGGTAAAATTTATTTACTGTTTGATTTTTTATAGCAAAGCAATAGAAATATTAAACTAGTATGGAAAAATGATATGTCTAACTTTTAAAATACCGTATATTATTATTCACTTCTTATTAGATGTTTCTTTAAACTTTTTAAATTCCAAAAATTTATAAAAAATTATTATTTTTTTATGAATATTACCATTTTATTGTTGGTTTTGGTAAACCTTCACAATCGATTTCAAATATTACACTTTGTCCAACTTGTGCAATATTATCTTTGAGTGATGCGTTGAATCTCAATGCTGACGTTATTTGAACTTGTGTTTGAGCTTCACGTGTTTGTAGTTTATTCTTACAAATAACTTTATAAACACCCTAAAAGCAAATAAAAAAAGCAATTTCCAATCAAATCAAATCAAATTTTTGAAATTACTTTATCTTCTGATGTAGCTTGTTTAATTGTTAATGAACAAGTACCATCTACATTTTTAATAATTTCAACACGATCAGATGCTTTAATTTCTTTGCCATCTTTTGTCCATATTACATCTGGTTGTGGACGTCCGCTAACTTGACATGAAAGATGTATGGTTTGACCCAAAGCAATAATTTGTTGTTCAGTAAAATCACATTTTAGTTCTGAGGGTTGTGTAACAGTTAGTTTACATTGAGTTTCTCTATCGCCAATATCATTGGCAACAACAGCTTTATAAATGCCTTCGTCTTCTAGTTTAACATTTGGAATAACTAATTCGTATGTATCATCAGACGCTTGCGTGCCCATATTTTGTAATTCAACATTATCTTTAAACCATTTTACTGTTGGTTTTGGATTTGCTGATGTAGTAAGAGATAAACGAAATTCTTTTCCTAGCACACATTCTTGATCAGTTAAACCTTTAGTAATAGATGGGCCAGCGGTAACATTGAATTGAAATGACGTTTCCGTTGAACCTAGTGTATTCTCAAGTTTACAAGTTATTGTGCCAGCTTGATCAAAACGAGCATTTTTAACAGTTATTATAAGACGATGAGTTGCTGCATCATAGGTATGTTCAATACCATCTTTGGGTGTTAAAGGTTTACCATTATGTAAAAGAGTTATTTTAGGTAATGGAAAACCATCAACTTGGCATTCGATTGTACCTGTATCACCCTGTCTGAAAGTGGTATCCGTAGGTTTGGACAAAAATTCAGGTGATTCTAAATATTACAATGCAAAGAAGATAACATTTAAAGACTTGAGGGCTATGCTAATCTGATATTCTATTGAGTGCCACGGCTTTTTCAACTGAACTATGGATGATTTCTTTCATGATGGATTTTCAAAGATTTGCTACTTTTAGGAAAATATTCTTTTCATTTGCTCCCTTTTTGTATCTTGCTGATCGAGTACCCGTTATTTTTTAGTTGAAGTTTATTTTATATGTACATACAGAGTTTTTCTCAATTGAAGGGTAATCCGATTTGTTCTTTCAAACCACCATTACAAAACAACTAAATGTATAGAATTTAGAGTTGTAAAACGAAATATTCTTTCGAAACCCAAAAGATCCTAAAGTTGCCCTACTGAAATCATAGTTCAATAGTCTCAGCGAAACTTTCAAATGAGAATTACATAACCACCTCGGGATTACGGTATAGTTTTTCAAAGACTATAACTCCTCAGATACGACATCAATCAAACGAATTCTAATATTGGAAAAATATCTCTCTATTTACTTGTAACAACAACATTTGTTTTCTTTGATTTGACTTGTCCAGCCGCATTTTGAATGATGGCACTATATTCTCCGTGATCATTTTCTGTTGCTTGTTCAATAATTAATTTATATGTGTTATCACCTTCTTCGATAATTTTAACGCCAGTTTGATTTCTAGAAATTTCCTCTGTTCCTTTAAACCATTGTATATGTGGCTTAGGTTTGCCGTCAGCTTGGATTGTCAAAACAATAGATTCATTTTTAGTTACATTTAATGTTGGTTGTAAATCAAGTCGAATTTTCGGTTGAGTAGTTGTTACATTCAGTGCCATTTTAGGTGATTCAATATCACCAGCTCGATTGGTTGCTTTAAATGTATACGATGCTTTATCTTCTATTTGTGTGCTTTCAAATACTAACGAATATACATCATCGTTTTCAACAGTTTTTATACGTTCATTATCAATATCGAATGGTTGACCGTTCTTAAACCATTGAATAGTTGGTTTGGGTAAACCAGATATTTTAGCACTGAATTGTGCTGGTTCACCGATAGTAACTTGTATATCTTGTTGTTTACTTTCAATTTTAGGTTTCATAAGAACAGTAACATTACATGTTGATGTTACTGAACCTTGTGGATTTGTTGCCACTACTTTAAATACTCCACCATCGGTTAAATCAACACGATTTACTGTTAATGTATGGACGTCATCAGGTTTTGATTCAATTTTTTGTTTTGTTGTTGATTTAATTTCATGTTCATTTTGATACCATTTGACTGTCGGTTTCGGTATACCTTGACAATGACATGTTAATGTTAAATTTTGTCCACTTATAACATCTGTATCTTGTAATCCTTCAGTAAATGCTAATTGAGCTGCTATCGTTACAGTTGTTTGTTCTTCAATTGTACTAACAGGATTTTTTGCTTGAACAGTATATTTGCCATGATCATCATCTTTAACATTAGAAATAATTAAACGTACTTCATCAGTTTTTTCATCATATTCAATTTGAAAACGATTTTTATCTTCCAATGTTGTGACATCTTTTTTATCTTTTAAGAATGTTATTTCAGGTTTTGGATTTCCAGATACTTGACATGATATGATTACTTGTTGACCTTGAATACCTTCGATTTTTGGTTCAAGAGAACTTATGACAGGTGCAAGTTGAACATTTAAATTAGCTTGACTTGCTATTTCACCTTCAGAATTGGTTAGAACAACTTTGTAAGTTCCTATATCAGTTGATTTTGTTTGTTTAATTTTAAGTTCATATAAATGTTCTTCTTCTTTGGTAACTATTTGATAATGTTGATCCGTTGGCGATATTAGTTGATCATTAAAAAACCATTGTATATTCGGCGATGGATAGCCAATGGCTTCAATCGATAATGTTGTATCTTGCCCTTCGACAATACTTTCATCTTGTAATGGTTTAAGTAGTTTTGGTTGTGTAAAAACACTAAGCTTAGCATCGTGTGTCACTTTTCCTGCTGGATTTTCTACTTGACATGTTATTTTACCTGTATGTTTAGCAACATCAATTTTACGTAATGTTAATGATGCTTTTTGTGTTGCATTATCGAAAGCAATAGCGCAATCAGCATTTGGTGTTAATGATTTTCCATTAAGTGACCAAGTTACTTTGGCTGTCGGATGTGCTGAAATTTGAGCTTCATATGTTACTTCTTTGCCTTGACTAACGCTTGCATCTTCAGGTGTTTTTAAGAATGTAGGAGTTTGTTGAACAGTAACTTTAACTTTTTTAGTTTTAACAACACCCGCTGAATTTTCAATTGAAGCTTGATATTCACCTTGATCCGTTAAAGCAGCATGCGGAATACGCAAAACAGCTGTAGTGAGAGAATCATCTGTTGTAGAAGATTCTTCAACAGTAATCGGACCTATCTCATTACCATCTTTAAAGAATTTAACCGTAGGCAGCGGACGACCACCAACAAGAAGACGATAGACAAGTTCATCGCCAACATTGATTGTTTGTGGTTCAATATCATGTTTTAATGCTGGTTTTACTTCTAAATAAAAAATAATAATTTAGTTGCTTGTGAAGATAGGATATATGTATGAAAGAAAGTCTCCAAGTTAGGAACTATTTTAGATTTCATCTAGGGATATTTATATTACCTTTAATATTAAGATTAATTTTTGCATCAACCGATCCAACTTTATTCACTGCACGAGCAATATATGCTTGAGCATCTTGTGATACCGTCTTATTAACCGTTAATGTTGATTGCCCATGGTCATCATTAACAATTTGAATGCGATCATCGGGTGTTATTTCAGTACCATCAGATTTATACCATGTAATAACTGCGGTTGGTACAGCAGAAAATTTAACACTAAGTTTCGCTGTTTCATTTAATATACATGTTACATCAGTAAGTTTACCCTCGACTTTCGGTTTAACTGAAATAATTATTAAAAATAAATAAATTCTTAGTCATTTCAATAAATGAAATTTAAAAAAAAACGAAACATACCACAAACATCAATATTTGCTTGTGTTTCAACTGTTTCTTTTCCATTATCAGCAACGACTTTATAAACGCCAATATCAATCATGTCAGCTTTGTTGATTGTTAATATACTTGTTGAACCTTTTGTTTCAATACGAGTTTTCTGATTTGATTTAATTTCATTGCCATTGAAATACCTTTAAAAAAACAACAAAAAATAAATGTTAATTTCTTTTTTTTTTGTTTTGCTTCATAGACTCGGTAGACAACAAGAAATTTATTAAAACAATTTTTATGCTGAAGATAAATAAAACTTGAACATACCAAGTTAATTTCGGTTTTGGTACACCTCCACAATCGACCGATAGAACTCCATTTGAACCTTGTATGATGTCTAAATCATCTAATGGCTTAGTAAAATTTAATGGTGCAGTGACTTTAACATTGGATGTTGTATCGACTTTGCCAAGTTTATTTTTCACTGATAATACATATGCTCCAATATCTTCTTCTTTAATATTTTCTATTGTTAATGAACATTCATTATTATTACGTTCAATTTTAATTCTATCAGATGATGAAATTGGTTTTTGATCTTTTAACCATTGAATATCAACATTTGGTCGCCCGTACACATTTGTTTTAAGAGTAAGTGTATCACTAAGTGTTACTTGTTGATCAGTCAATTGTGGTTCGATGCGTGGTGTTTCTATAAATAGTAAGGACAAGGATAAATTCTTATGAAATCAAATTTTACTATATACCAAGTGCTTTCAATTGAACTGTAGCTTCAGTTTGACCAAGTGAATTTTTAACTTTGATTTGTATCGGCGATTCATCTTCGGGTGTGACATCATGAATGATTAATTTAGTAACTGTTGCATCTCCTTCAATTATTTCATATTTTCCTGAAGGTATAACTGTTTGACCAAGATGAATCCTATGGAAAAGAAAATTATTTTTCAATCCAGAGCTATTTAAAACAAAAATGAAAAAGAAATTTTACCATTCAACTTCTGGTTTAGGTGAGCCTGATACATCGATAAGAAAAACAGCATCGGTATGTAGTAAAGCTTCAATATCTGTTGGTTTTTTTGTAATTTTCGGTCCAGCTAAAAGAAATTTGATAAATGAATTTTAAAAATAAAAAAAAACAAGAAGCTTTTCCTTTACTTTTTACAGAACATTGAACAGTTTCTTCAACTGAACCTGATGCATTTTCAGCTTTAACACTAATTTTACCGATATGTTTTGGTAATGCTTGTTTAATAGTTAATACAGATGTGCCCGTTGCTTGGTCAGTGTGTACATCAAATCCTTCTTTAACTGAAACTGGTTTACCTTCAAATAACCAAGTAATTTTAGCTGCCGGGAAGGCATCAACTTTAGCATGAAATTCAGCTAAGTCATTTTCATTAGCATCAACTGATGTTGGTTTTTCCAAAAATTCAGGCACTTTTGTAACAATTAATTTGCCTTTTTTAGATTTAGCGGATCCACCTGTATTTGTTAACAAAGCTGAATAATCACCTTGATGTTCAGGTTTACATTTATGTATTTTTAACATAAAAGTATCTGTTGAAGCATCTTGAATAAATTCAAAATCTTGATTTGTTGAAAGAATTTCTTCAGTTTCATTTTTAAACCAACGAATTGTTGGCTGAGGATTACCAGCTGCTTTAATCGTAAATTCTATCGGTTCATCTCGAATAGCAGTCATATTAGTAATATCAGATATAATATGTGGTTTTATTTCTTTAATAACTAAATTTATCTTTGAATCAACTGTCCCAACTTTGTTTGTTGCACGAGCAGTATATACTGCACTATCTGTTACATCAGCTTTTTTCACTTTAAGTACTTGTGTACCATCAGGTAATTCACTTATTTCAATATTATCATCGGATTGTATTGGATTAGTGAGATCATTACCTTTATACCTGTTTGCAAAACAAAAAAATATTACTCATAGAAAAATTGATGAGTGAAATATAGTTTAAGATTTACGAACCAAGTAACAGTTGGTTTTGGTAAACCACTGAATGCAGTATGTAATTCTGGTGATTGGCTGATTTGAGCAGTAACATCATTGGCTTTGCCCTCGACTTTCGGTTTAGCTAAAAGAAAATCATGGATAAAATAAAATAGGAAGCGTCTATATCTAGGATGGCTCATGCATATCTTCGAGATTGAAAAAAATTGATGACTCCCTATATTTGATTCTAATGGGTTCTGTGACTATTGGTTTTTAATAAATACTTCCAGTATGTGATAAAAGAAAACCTATCGTAGGAATTATATGAAAAAACTTCGTATCTAATAATACTCATTGAAGGCATTCAGATTTTTAGCAATTAGTAGCCATATAATTTGTTCTCTCTCTAGAGTAATATATCTCACAGGATTCAGTTCCAGAAGAATCTTATATTTTACTACTTAGAATTATCAAATGATTTTAAAGCGCATGATGATGAATTCCTATTTCTATAGAAAAGTTTTGTTCAATAAATTAAAAATTGAAGCTTTCATGTAAGGCGGAAAAGGTGGATTTGGGATTTTAAAATCCTAAAATTCAAACGTGAATGATGAAATTTTCAACTGAAATTTTTCCATGTGTAGGTCTCATGATCCTAAGAATATTCTAAAAGTTTCAGCGCAAACGGATGTTTCCTTGTCAAGATAATGAATGCGCAAGAAATACTCATTTCACGGCACAATCAGAAAATCCATATTTTTTGAAAATTCAATATTCTAAGAAGAAAACATTTGTTCCGATTGAAACTTTTAAAATCTTCCATAGATCATAAAACCAATATATGGGAAGAGTTTCAGGTCGAAACTATGTCATTCACACGGGGGAATAATGATTTTTCAATTTTGGGATTTTTCGGATTTTAAAATCCCCAAATTCGCATTTTCCCCCTTGTTTTCATGACTAGTATTACACTTTTCTTTTCTAAACTATTCAAGCTAGTTCATTTATTGCAACGAAACATCTATTGATTGCATATCATCGATAAATACATTTGCTTTTTATCGTAATGATATTTATGAGGTATCCTATAAACAAATAACATACTGCAAACAGATAGATGAGCTTGTGTTTCAACGCTTCCATCAGCATTGGTTGCAACACATTTGTAAATACCATCTTCAGGTAAATCAACTTTCGGTAATGATAATGTATGAACATTTTGTTTTGTTTCAATTTTACTTTTCGGTGTATTTTTAATTTCTTGATCATTAAAAAACCTAAATGTAGAAAAGAAGAACGAATTATCAACATAAAAAGTAAGACTTTAATTTTAGTCTTTACCATTTAACTGTCGGTTTTGGTATTCCGTTTACTTCAACAGTTAATACACATGATGATAGTGCAAGTAGATCTTGATCTTTTAATGGTTGAATAAATTGTAATGGTGCTAAAACTTTCAAATGTCCTTCAGTCTGATTTGTACCAATTTTATTTTTAGCTACACATGTATAGAAATTTTGATCTTCTTCACCAACGTCTTTTATGATTAATTTAGCATTTCCTTCAGTATCGATGGGTACAATTGAATATTTTTTCTCATCGGATTTGATTTCTTTTCCAGCTTTATACCATGTTATGGTTGGTTGTGGTGTACCAAGAACTTTAATATACAATTCAATAGATTGTCTAGCAGCAACGGATTGATCTTGTAACCCATCAACAAAAATAGGTGCATTGACAACATGAAGTTTAGCTTCTGTTTGTGTTTGGCCAAGTTCATTTGTTGCTTGTACACTGTAAGTTCCATGATCTTCTAATAGAGCATTTTTAATAATTAATTTATGTTGATTTGTAGTTGAATCATATGAAATATCATATTTATTTGGTGACAATGCCAATGGTTGACCATTATGAAACCATTGAATAGTTGCTTGTGGCGATGATTGAAATGTACAAGTCAATGTTGCATCATTATTCGTAAGAACTTCCGTGTCTGTTAATGGTTTAAGAAGAATTGGCGTAGAGCGAATATTAATATTGAATATTTCTTCAGTTGTACCAATTGTATTTTCAGCTTTGACAGTTACTGAACCAGCATGTTTTGTTGCAACGTTTCTAATAATCAAAGTAGCAATACCAGTTTGTGCATCGAATGTTGTTTCATAACCATCCTTCATTGAAACTGGTTTACCACCGATTAACCATGTAACTTTAGCATGTGGCAATGCATCAATTTCGCATTCAATTTGACATGTTTCAGCGAGATTGGCTGTAGTTGTTTGTGGTTTTCTAACGAAAACGGGTTGTTTTTGTATAGAAATTTTCGATTTTTTCGATTTAATTAAACCAGCAGCATTAGTTAATTGTGCTTGATATTCAGCAATGTCGTGTTGATTTGTATTTTTAATAATAATAAAAAATTCATTCGTTGTTTTATCTTCCTTAAATTCGATACGCTCATCAGATGATTGAGTTAATTCAGTATTATTTTTAAACCATTGACATGTTGGATATGGATTACCAGTACCAGCTATGGATAGAATAAGATCTTCATTTTTAACGCCAACATATGTTGGATTGAGATCACGTGTTAGTGTTGGTTTAGTTGCTAGAAAGAAAAAAGATGAAATTAAAAAAAAATTGATTTACGCGATTTTATTTTGATTTACGTTTAACATTGACATTCGATTTTCCTTCAACTTCACCAGCAATGTTTTGTAATTTAACAGAATAAACACCCGTATCATTCAAATTTGCATTATTTATTGTTAACACAGATAATGTTGCTGATTCTTGTGTAATTCTAATACGTTGATCATCAGCTGGAATTACTTGTCCATCTTTATACCAAGTTATAGTTGGCGCTGGGCGTCCAGAATATTGACATGTTATACGAAGATTTTCACCAATATTAAGAGCAACATCAGCTAATTTATCGATTTTCGGTTTACTACAGACATTTACTGTAGCATCAGCTTGAGCTTTATCAACTGAATTTTCAGCAACAACCGAATACAGACCTTCATCTGCAGCATCACCACGAAGAATTGTTAATGTATAAATACCATCTTTTTTAGCTTCGATTTGATGTTTAGTTGCACTGGACTTAATTGGCTGACCTTTAAATAACCATGTTACTGTTGGCTTTAGATTACTAGTTATTTCAGCAGTAAGAACAACTGATTGGCCAAGTAGAAGAATAGAATTTGTTGGTGGTTTGACAATTTGTGGTGCACCTAATGTGTTGTTGAAAAGAAAACGATTTAGAAATTCAATGTAAACACAAATAAAATTGTCTCACGAAAAACATCTTTGTATCAAAATTTATCACTAAAACATTTCCTTTTGACTCTATGCATTGATAGATAAAATACAAAGACTCACATATTTATAGTAGATCAACGACATTTTCTAACGACTATTCATTGCTATAGAGTCGATCTATCCTAGGCATTTTCATGTTCTACACAGAATATTCTTTTTTATTGTTCATATTCAGTCTTTATGAATCTAACAGAAATTCTACATATATGATATTTCATATGACAACTATTACCAATCATGATCCTATAGCAGTTCACATCTTGCTTGTTAACATCGTTTAAATGCTTCTGATCATTATTAGAATATTACGGAAAAGTTTTGTGATACATTTGGTTCTTATGTGTCAAGAAAACTATTTCAAAAATCGGTTGAAAATTGAGAGACGAGAAAATTTTCAATAGAAACTCTTCGCTCATTATTTATTTTTCTACAATAGTAAGTATTTATCTAAAATCATTAGAATGATTCTAGTAAAAAAATGAACTCTTCGATCTAATAAAAAGGTTGATAAGACATCGTCAATGAATTTAGTCAGTAATTCAATTTCTATAGCTCGTTTAATGTTTTTCATCCGAAATAAATCAAGTTCACTACTATTTAAATACATACCTAATACTTCAACGTTGCCTTCTGTTTGTGCATTTAGATATTTAGCTACATAAACACCTTTATCGTTTACGTCTGCATTTGTTATAATTAATTTATGAACTAGACCATTAATTTCTTCTTTAATATTGGTTATTAAGTTGCCATCTTTAAACCATTGCAAAGTAATATTTGGTTTATTAACTGTGCAATTTAATTCACATATATCACCACGTTTGATTTTTAGATTTTTTAATTTATCTGTAAATTCGAATGCTTCTTCTTCAACAACTAATTGTGCACTAGTTTTTGTCGCTTCGTCTAATACACATGTTACTGTTGAATGATTCTCACTTAATAAACACTCTTTGATATTAAGACGACGTGTTTTGCCAATAGCTAATGTTTGAGCACGTTGAGCAGGTATAGGTTTATCATTAAATAGCCACGTTACTGGTGTTTCAACGTCAGATATGCTACATTCAAATGTAGCATGTTTACCTTCGTGCACAGCTACATTGGATAATTGTTTAGTAAATGTAACAAGACCCATTCGAGATGTTTTACGGCCTTTCGCTCCGCCTGGCGGTGTTGGTACATTTAATCCAAGTCCGTCATCACTTTCGAAACCTTCACCTGTAGCAAGACTTCCACGCGAAAGACGAGCACCTAATTGACCTGGCGGTAAACCGATGAGATCAACTGGTTGAGCTTGATTATATTGTGCAAGTTGTGCTTCAGTCATTAATTCAAAATGTTTTAATTTATATTGCCAACCGGGATCAGCAGGCCCTTTGGCTATAGCTTTACCTTTCCGTAATTTACCCCAATCAGGTCCACCTTGACCGGCTTTTACTAAGGCTTCCCTACAAACAAAATAATTATATTAACCACACATATATGAATATTCAATTTTAAAGCCTTTAAAAACAAGAATTCTATTAGATCTCTGTAGAAAATACAAAACTTCTTAGTAAACTTAGTTGAAAATAGATAAATTCTTGAATACTTACATTTTACGAAGAACACTCTTATAATCAATAACTTCTTCTGGTTTTGTTGCAAGAAAACATGAAACTGGTTTTGTTATAGTTCCGTGTATATTTTGAGCTGTCACAGTATAAATGCCAGTATCAGCTTCATTATATTGATTAATTTCAAAGAAATGTGCATCAAGTTCTTCATCGTAATAAAGTGCATATTTTTGTGTATTTTCTGTAAATTGTTTTCCTTTGCCTCTCGACCACACAACCATTGGATTTGGATCTCCACTGACACGACAACCAAAAACAGCCGTCTGTCCTTCCAAACAACTAACTTTTTCTGGTGAATCAATAAATGCTGGTGCTTCACCGGAAACTGTTATTTGGCATTGTGTTGTCTTTTCTCCACCGGGATTTTTTGCACGGCACTCATATGAACCACTATCACTTTCTTGACATTCACGTATTGTTAATGTCCATGTTGCTGTAAGTGGATAAAATACAATTGATATACGATCATTTTCATCGAATACTTGTCCATCTTTCAGCCATGTTAAACGCGGTAATGGTAGGCCACTGACTTTCAAATCAGTTTTTAATATTCCACCAACTGGAAATAATGCATCAGTTAACGTCTTAGTAAAATTTGGTGCCGCTAATTCTAGAAATAGAAAGAAAACAAAAGATTATTATTGAAATTGTTGCAAAAACTAAAATGCAAAACACAATATAATTGTTTTAGTTAATTACAGTAATTTAAGACTCATATCTTCATATATCATCCAGAAATGGAAAAAATAGAAACAGATCAGTGTGTCTATTGGGTCTGTAATGTTTCTCTTTCTAAGGTTCTGTTACAATCTCTAAAGGCTCAACATTTATATTCCTATATAGTTGAACACTTGAATTCGATCGTGTTGTACAAATAATCAATATTGAATCATACGTAATACAAGAAGTAACTTACGAAATAATGTTAATTTTCCTATACAGGATGCTTGACCAAGAGAATTTGTTGCTGTACATGTATACGAGCCAGCATCAGATCGTTTAGTATTTGAGATGGTAAACACATACCATCCGTCTTTAAGCTCTTTTAATGCATATCTGAAGAACAAAACAAAAATTATGAACATTTTAAAACAAAAGAGAAAAACAGTTTTTTCCAACAAATCGTACCGTCCTCGTAAGTCAAGTGTATTTTGATTAAATGCAAAATCTATTTTTGGTTTTGGATATCCAGCAACTTGAACACGTATATCGATATCACAATTTTCGACTCCTTCTAGTTTATCTAATTTATGTAAAAATATCGGAGCCATTTCAATCGTTAATGTTGCTGATGTTTTAACTTGTCCAAATGAATTTTGTGCTGTACATACATAAAATCCTCCATCATCTAATTGAATATTTTTAATAACTAGCGAATAGATGCCTCGTTTTTCTTCAGCAACAATTCTTGCTCCATATAAACTAAAATCAATGGGTATAGCATTTTTTGACCAAGTAGCTTTTGCTACTGGAAATGCATATATATGTGTTTCTAATCGTGCCGAACGTTTGATTGGTACGAATAAGTCTTTTAATGGTTCGACTACAGCCGGCGGTGATGATATTTGAACAGTAATTTTTCCTGTTGTACGACCAATATTATTTGAACACATGACTTGATACTCGCCAGCATCGTCAACAGTAGCACGTTGAATACGTAATTGATGATGATTACCATCGGAAGTTATTTTATATTTTGCATTTGTTTTTAAATCTTGAGCTAAATGTGACCATTTAATAATTGGCGATGGTAAACCAGTGACTTCAATATCGATTTCGCAATCTTGCCCATCGACGATAGTAATTGCATCAGGTATTTTAACAATTGTTGGAGGAATTTCAACGAGTACTTGAGCATCAGATGTGCTTACTTCATTACCTAATGTTGCTTTTATGCTATAGTAACCAGTATCCGATGGTAACGCTTGTTTTATTGTTAAAACATGAACTTTATTGCCTTTAACAGACGGAGTTATACGATCTGATTTAACAATTGGTTGGTTATCTTTCATCCATACGATAGTCGGAACACCTTTCTTCGTATTAACTTCGCAATCAAGAGCAAATAGACGTCCTTGTGAAACAGATATATCACGTAGTGGTCGTTCGAATAATGTACTTAAACCTTTGAAAGAAAAAATGAATCATTTAATATTATTTTATTTATTCTTAAAATTTACCAGTTATAGTAAGATCAATATCTGCTGTAGCTTTGCCAGCTGTATTAACAGCTGTTATAACATAGGTACCAACAACATCAGCAACAGCTTTTTTAATTAATAAATAGTATGTTTCATTATCGGAACGTAATTCATAAAGTTCATTCGACGATATAGTCATACCTTTACGAGTCCATGTAACTTAAACAGAATAGATTTATTTTTATTTAATAAATTACTGTGATAATATTACGTGATAAAAGACCAAATGACAAGCAAGCATGTTAATTTCATCATTTTCTCTCGTTTCTTTAATATCATTTACAGTTCTATCTATCATAAAATCTAGCACTATCTTATTGACCACTACATTCTGCTATCGACATCAGTAAACAATTTAAATGACAGATATTGTATTAAATACTGTTTAGAATTAACTATTTCTTTAGTAAAACATATATATATGTATATATCGACACTTTCTGAATTATTGATAATTTATTCTAAGAAAATATATTAATTAAGGTATCATCGAGTCAAAATTATTCTTGTAGACTGTTCGCCCTTGACCAAAATGAATACAAATGTAGAGATAGAGGTTTCAAAAAACAAAGTTTCCTATGTATTGACCAATACTAATTGCTCTAATATTTTCCAGTTTGGTATATAGTAATCACATATATGTAATTCATTAGGATGGTATTTTTTTATGTTGTCCTCATCATGAATATGAATCTATTATATTTCACGACAAATTGAGTCATGCTGACCCATAAACAATACGAAATATAGCAAATGTTTTCTTTTATGGGATAACTTCATTGCCAATATCTACGTATAACATGATATTTATGGTAAAAAATTTACTAGAACCAATCCCTAAGCTGAAAAGTCATTGGCGAACATTTCTCTATAATGCCTTATTAATAAAACATAGAAGTTTGCTGCTTCTGCACAAAGGAAACAGCAACTACTTTTTTAATATCGGAATCGTCACTATTTATTTCATACATTATAAAAAATGCAATGTGGACGATACTTATTCTAACACGAATCTAGTGATCAAAGTTGTAATTTCATCTCTACTGTGAAATGACTTAATTTCAATTTATCATATCCGTAGCATGATCAAAACGTTTTATTATGCTTATTTCTCATGTAGACGACTCAATATCAACTATATTGAATTAGTACAAGGTGATAAAATGTTAAGAGTAACGATAATTTGACGTGTTTTTTAGAATAGATAGGCTAGGTTAAAAATTCAATACCTGTAGGTACGGGTGCACCAGATATTTTAACAAAAAGCTCGACGCTTTCACCAGCATTAGCGCTAGTTGGTCGTGATTTATCAATAATTTTTGGCGCACGTTGTTCACCAGTTATTAGTAATTGTACTTCACTTTTAATTTCTGCTAAAGCATTTTTAACAAGACATTTTATTGTGCCAGTATCAGCATCGGTTATATTATTAATACGAAGAATAATTAAACCGCGTTCTTCAACAATAGATACTCTACTACTCGGTTGTAAAAGTTTATCATTAAGAAACCATTGAACCTAAATATTAATCAAAAAAAATTGTTTTTTTTTGCTTTACAAGAAATAAATCGACTTACCTCTGGTTTTGGACTTCCAGATACACGACAATTAAATTCAGCCAATTTTCCTTTGACAACGGCTGCCGATTTTGGTTCGAGAGTAAATGCTGGTAGTATACCTTTCATTTCTAACTGCCCTTGAGAATTAATTTGTCCAAGACTATTTTTAAGAACTAATTCATAATTTCCAATATTTTCTTGTTGGAAGCGTTTAATATTGAGTACATGAATATTGCCATCGTTTGTACGATCAGTTTTCGTGAATATATTATCTGTTGGTTTTGTACCAATAATTGGTTGACCATCTTTAAACCATTGTTGTTCGGTATCATATTTAGATTTACATGTCAATGCACATGGCGAACCTAAATCGATTTGTAATATTGAAAGACCTTGGACAAGAATGGGGTTTTGTGTTTGTTCAACATTAACTGGCGATGCTGCGCTTGAACGACGTCGTTGAGGCGGTGCTGCAGGTATTTGTAATTCAGCTTCTCCGAATGCAGCTTTCTTTTGTTGATTTATTGCATGAGCAGATTTTTTCACTGAACATGTACATATTGTATGACCATATGTGTTTTGTGCTTGAGCCTTATAAACGCCAATTTTTTTCTGTTTAGGACTAATTATAAGTTGATGACGAACAGAATGTGGATTCAACTGTTCACTGTTTCGTTGATAATCATTACCAGCAATTACTTTTCGATCATTAAATAACCAAATCAATTGTGGTAATGGATTGCCAGAAATAGTACATTGGAGGCTAAACGTTTTTGATATACGACAAAAGAAAAACAGTAATGATTATTTTGAAAAAGAAAAATAATTGAATTATTCTTACACGAGTTGTTCATCTTCATTGATTAATAACTCACTCTCCAGTGGTTGAGTAAAGGTCGGTTTGCCTTCTGGTATGCCTAATGTACTAGTACGACGATCGAGAGTAGTACCGGCTAGCTCGCTCGACATGATGTCACCTTGACTACCACTTGCCGTCGTTAATAATAGTCTATTGAAAGATAGAAAAGGTTATTATTAGATTGAAAAGCGTTGAAATGATATATTGATAAATCATTGCCTCTTAGAAAAAGATTGCAAGATTCATAATCAGAAAATCGTCAATATCTATCAAGAGAATAAAACTAACTATTTATTATCGTCTGATCAGCAATATTTGTTAATAATTAACATGTATTGTAAACAAAAAGCAAATGACCTCCAAGCTATATTTTTCTGTATGGTAAAATAAAGTGATCTATACATAGAATTACTCTCCATGTTGAGATGCTGTTGAATAGTACCTTACTATTTCTCTTATAGAATAAATGAGTTAAGAAATCAAAAATAAAATAAAAGGAAAAACAATAAGAATAAATGCAATGATGACTGAGCTCTTATTGTTTACAGTCTGATACTCATTTGTATATCGATTTACATAAGTATTTGGGAAATACATCGGCATTCGAATCTTACGAAGCCGAAGAAAAAGATAACAGGGATGAGAAACTATCTCGATGTTTCTATCATATTATCATCGCGGTTTTTTCTTTCCTTTTTTTCCTTTATTGTTCTTTTACTTCTTCCTCTATCGAACCTTAGTTCCGGTCGACGTTGTGTCACATACTTATCCATCTGCAATTGATTCTTGTTCTTTTCAAGAAAATAGACGGTTTGTACGATGCATATGTATATTCTTACTTGGATTACGTATCTCTTTCTCTTCTTTTTTCCTTGGCACAAGGGTGACATTGTTCTTCTCGTCCATTGAAGAAAACCATATAACAAGAACTGCTACTTACATAAGATGTTGTCTATATTTTGTTCTCGCACAATTAGTCGATAAAACCATTGGTAAAAAATAGAAAATAAGGGCAAAGAAAAGAGACAGGAAAACGATGGAGCGCTTAATTGTAAAGATTACGTACTATATGTACGATGAATTGGAAAAAAAATCAATAAACAGAGTTAGAACAGCATCGTTTTTAAAGCAAGGTCAATTGATTATGTATATGTATACATATATAAATGTATGAATCTATATCAGGAGAGAGAGAGAGAGAGAGAGAGAGAGACAAAGACAAGATTTATTGTAGATATATGCAATATTCTCGTTTATAAATCATTTGACAGCAAGATGTTCTATTTTATTTCCTGTATTGACTTAGACATGTACATGTATTAAATATTATTTAATATCTTTTGAAACATATTAAACACAAATGTTTGCTAAAAGATGTCTGCTGCTTTCTTTTTTTCTGACAGAGTCGCAATTATAGCTAAGAGCTAAATGATTGATTAGATTACAATAATAATAATTTACTATAGAATGATTTGAAGAATACAATATTTTTCATAAAAGTTTACCTATGAAAATTTTCTCTTTGTTTATTTCTAACTTACAATTTTCCTTGTTGTCGTTGCATTAGACGATATTGTATATTTTACTAGACATCTTTCTGAGAACAAAAGACAATCAAAGATATAGTGACGATCGTTTGAGTAAGGCCAAGGAAAATAATGAAAGCAGAAGCAACGGCAAATGAGAATTACGAATGCTTATCTGCGGAAGAAAATGCGCGATAAAGGAAAGGAGACAGTAATTCTACGCTTACATGCATTCCAATATCGATACCGCATTCAGACAATATTTTCTCATTGATCTCTGTAAGAAGAGTCTTAACAGCTGAAATGCTTACTCGTCTGATGAAAGTGATGGAACTTCGGATGTGCTTATTTTCTTTGTTGGCGCTTGAGTTTGTGCCGTCTTCGATGCTAAAAATAAAACAAATTTATTTGTGATACTACATAGAGATATTTGCTTGAAAAGTATACATACACCGTTTGACATTTACTTGTGTACCACTGATAATTTCACCCAATTCATTTTTGAGAACAACTTTGAATTTGCCATCATATTCCATAGTTACCTTGTCGACAGTTGGTGAAAAAGTTGGATCTGTTGGAACTCATTTGTTCGCAGAGGATACTGAAAAGAAATCAGTGAAGCTCTCAACTGAAGCATGGCCCTCAACGATCGTTGAAGAAACAGCTGTGGCTAACAAAATGAAATCTGAGGGGTTAGGTTCGTCGAAAACATCTTTAGCTACGGCAATAGAGTTACCTCAAATTGAAGCTGTGAAAGTTGCTGAGATTGTTGAAACTACTAGTACTGAGTCGCTGACATCATCGATGGAGCATGATTACCTTCGACCCAACTTTACTCTACGTCTTAAACCAACAGTTGTCGTCAATGATGGTGAAAAGCTTAAATTGGAAGTACGCTTTATTGCCCAACCAGA